GAATTTTTAATTTGGAGTAGAACTTTTCATTTACTGACAGAACCCGCCTCCCATGTGGGATTTCAATAGTATAAACACACAGAGGGGATTTGCAGCAAATGATGGATGCCTGCTGGAAGTGATGAGAAACACAAAAGCTAGTGGATGTGGTTATTTAACATAATGCAGTGATGGCTGTCTTCTTTTTGTGTCCTTTATAACTTTAGCAGTGAAGAAATAAAACATCTTTAGGCGTGTTTACGCTCCCTTTTCATTGATGTACTTGTGAAATCCAGACAATAAGTATTCACACCTGTTTCACAGAATTCATTTGCGAGCACCCACATACTGCAGATAAAGCCTGTAAATCCTTCAGGGCCCTTTCATCCTCATGTTTGGGTTGCAAGTTGCAAATCAGGGAAACTGGGCCCCAGGAGAGAATTTGTATTATGCTGTTGCAGGTTATCACAGTTCAGCTAGTGAAGTTGCACTAATGAATAAAATGTACCATGCTGCACCTTTATTTTCATGTCTTGCTTGTGTAATCTCTCTAATAAGTTGTTAAAGACTCAGGTTAAAAAGTGTCGCTATTAATGGAGCATTATTCCCCTTTAAAGACTAAAATCGCCAGGCTGCGGTGATATCAAGAGGCAGATGAAGACCTTTTGCTGTTGAGATGAAGTACACTAATGTTGACAGAGTAATGGAAGCTAAAGCCTTGTTGTCAGAGTTGTGGGCTGGGATCGAACTGCAGTGTGAATCACAGTAATTGGCTCTTGTCTTAGCAGTGGAGAACAACATCCATTAACAGAGAGGCTGTAGATGGAGGCAGCATTAGTTTGGCTTTAGCTACAGTTTGGAGCTGGAGAGGAAAAGCCATGAATATTAATTGAGCTGATGTTCATGAATCCGTGTGTATGTCTGTGTGAAATATAACAACACTGTGCAGACCTTGTTATGAGACAAATATTCATTTCTACTGTCTTTTTCCTCTTTAGTGAATTTTCTCAGTGTACTGCAAATTTAACTAAATGAACTGGCTGCAGTAAGAGTACAGGGTGGAGCCTTGTGATAACTGATGCCATAAAGGTCGTGCATGTTTACAGGAGAGTATGATTATGAGTGGTGGATATTGAACTTCGAGAGTTTTATGGCATCGATTGAATTACTTCAGTATCATCAAGCATCGAAAATGCTTTTCTGCACTTTTATGTATTGATGTTAATGTTAAAAGAACTTAGGTTTAATTCTCATAGGTTTAACTTTTCATGTTATGAAACTGCTTTGAGTGCACAAAAATGCCAAGGAACTGGAAAGTAAAACTAATGATCTGTACTAGTATCGGCGTCAAGGTAACAATATTGGTATTAGTAGTGAAAATTCTGGAATTATACCCAGCCCTAGTGATTATTGTGGGATGTGTAATATTACTGTCAGTCATCCACAAACCAAATGTGTGAAACCTGAAGGTTTCTTCTGGCAGCACAGTATTCAGCCTGTAATGAGGGCGCCATTCATCTCCATAACACCACATGATTACAACATCCATTTACCCATCTAGGCAGAATTACACCGTTCATTCATCCAACTGGACTGTATTGCACTGTTCATTCATCTAATATGGAGCTGTTACAGCTGAAAGACCAGTTTCCAGCTGAGCCACATGAAACCTGGTCCTCACTAATTAGACTCCACTCTGCCACTCATGCTGACATGTTCAGAGACTGGGAGCGATGACAAAGCTGCACTCAGGTAAAACCTTACATCACATATATTAAAATCAAGGCCCACCAGATCATTTTATGTGGCCCTCGAAAGCTTGAGATGTATATGGTTGTCTTAAAATAAAAGTTTATACTAATTGAAAACTTACACTGACCATAAACTACATCTCCCACAATGCACGCCAATTTCGGGACCCGCGAAGTATTGGCATCCCGCCCCTAG